TCAGGGAAATCCGCCATGCGCCATGGCGCCATGGGGAGTTTGGTACTCACGCATGAAAACATCTGGGGCTGATGAGGCTGGGGCAATAGTTGGCCGGCATTGCTTTCAAGCAGTTTCACATTTTCTAAGCAAAAATCAAACTAAAAACCACAAAACTGAAAATCAATTTGTTCAAACCGTGCAAATGTTTGGTGATTTGGAGGCCCCATGATGCTCATGCGCCGCCACCTCCATCTGGTCTGCCGCCACCACGCCCTCCTGGCCATGGGCAGGTGTGCGACATCATTGCAACATTTCTTTTATTTCCGTCTGACCAGGCAAAATAGACAACGTTTTTTTTTTTGAAACCTCAAATGTTTTTGGATTTGCACTTGGTTCAAACTATTTTTTCAGTTAAACTGAAAACTCAAGACACTGCAAAAATTGTCACCAAATGGCTTTATATGCTCAAAATTTCATTTTGTTGTGTTGATGCAAGGAGCGGAACCGCTTTCCTTCGAAAGTGCGCTCTTTGAGCGAAGGTCCAGCTGATGGACGGGCCTCTCGCGAACTTGGCGAAGAGGCAGGCCGTGGTACGCCCACATAATATAATGTATGTATGACATATATATGGTGTATATATATGGTGTATATATATGGTGTATATATATGGTGTATATATACATAGTAAATAAATATATAGTATATATATATACAGTTAGTATATAGTATATATATATACACTATATATAGATTATAATATATATATATACAAAATATATATACAAAATATATACAAAGTATATAAAAAGTATATATAATGTATATATAAAGTATATATATAATATATATATATAAAGTATATATAAAATATATATAACGTATGTATAAAGTATATATAAAGTATATATAAAGTAAATATAAAGTATATATAAAGTATATGTAAAGTATATATAAAGTATATATAAAGTATATATAAAGTATATATAAAGTATATATAAAGTATATATAAAGAGTATATATAAAGTATATATAAAGTGTATATATAAAGTATATATAAAGTATATATATATAAAGTATATATATAAAGTATATATATATAAAGTATATATATAAAGTATATATATAAAGTATATATATAAAGTATATATATATAAAGTATATATATATATAAAGTATATATATATAAAGTATATATATATAAAGTATATATATAAGGTATATATATAAAGTATATATATATATAAAGTATATATAATATATATAGTATATATAAAGTATATCTAAAGTATATATAAAGTATATAAAAAGTATATATAAAGTATATATAAAGTATATATATAAAGTATATATATAAAGTATATATATAAAGTATATATATATAAAGTATATATATATAAAGTATATATATATAAAGTATATATATATATAAAGTATATATATATATATAAAGTATATATATATATATAAAGTATATATATAAAGTATATATATATATAAAGTATATACATATAAAGTATATATATATAAAGTATATATATATAAAGTATATATATATAAAGTATATATATATAAAGTATATATATATAAAGTATATATATATAAAGTATATATATACAAAGTATATATATATATAAAGTATATATATATAAAGTATATATACTTTATATATATATCTAAAGTATATATATATAAAGTATATATATAAAGTATATATATAAAGTATATATATAAAGTATATATATAAAGTATATATATATAAAGTATATATAAAGTATATATAAAGTATATATAAAGTATATATAAAGTATATATAAAGTATATATAAAGTATATATATAAAGTATATATATAAAGTATATATAAAGTATATATAAAGTATATATAAAGTATATATAAAGTATATATAAAGTATATATAAAGTATATATAAAGTATATATAAAGAGTATATATAAAGTATATATAAAGTGTATATATAAAGTATATATAAAGTATATATATATAAAGTATATATATATATATAAAGTATATATATAAAGTATATATATAAAGTATATATATAAAGTATATATATATATAAAGTATATATATATAAAGTATATATATATATAATATAGATATATAAAGTGTATATATATAAAGTATATATATAAAGTATATATATAAAGTATATATATATATAAAGTATATATATATATAAAGTATATATATATATAAAGTATATATATATAAAGTATATATAATATATTACATACATACAGACACATTTACTACTTTCTCTGCATGGTGTGTACATGTTTACGTAGACGCACCAGTCTGCAACCTTCAAAAAACGTTTTCGTTGCCACACAGCGGGAAAGAGCAAATTGCAGGTGCTGCAATTGCAAAAACACATTGGTGTCTACAGCGACTCGATTTGATCGCTTGACTTTCTTCGTGCTGTCAGGAGGAGGGCTCTTCAGCTAAACCTGGCGGCCACAACATTCTAGTGGCCGTGCGCAGCCGTGCGCTGCTGCCACAAGAACGCTCAGCTGGAGGCCTGTAAGAAAACAGTTTGTGCCAAGACCTTGTGCTCAGCAGAGCTGCTGCAACACGTGCCAGAACTCTGATAGGCCATGCCATCATCACCATTTGCAACGGCACCACAGTGATTCTCGAAGATCCGCACACTACAGCAGCAGATGATTATCTTCGCACAAACCTTAGTCCACCGGGATACCTGAGAGCCCTGCAGAACGTAAAGGAAGTGGTCCGTGGTTCCAGTGGTCCAATTCAAAATATATTGTAAGAGGTCAACAAATCGACGGAAACAGTTGCGCTGCAAACGTGGTGGGTTTGTGCAAACGCTATCTCCATCTTTCACAAACGTTTGTAGTTGGAATGATTTGAGTGCGTTGCCCGGGGAATCAAAGACTCGATTGCTTGCAAAAGGCGTCGATTTGTATAATTTTGTAAAACACAAAAGTGCGGCCTCACCATTCCAACGGTTTATACGATAGGCTTAATGCCCAAAAGCACTCTAATCTCTCACGAATCAGTCTCGACTGAGAAGGTATTGACAGAATCACCAATCCCAGACATGGCAGTGTCAAACTCTGTGGACCCGGTTTTGACACACTCTTTTGTCTAGAAGACTAGAAGAAATAAAAGGAAATAAAATAAAAAAAAGTAGTGCCTTTGTCATGGCAATCGACACGTAAAAGATGCCGAGGTCTGAACAAATCAAAAGAACGTCGGTACCACTTTGATCAAGCCTTGGAAGAAACTGCTCAGAATTTAGAGGTGCAGGGTGGGCTGGCGGTGACACAGATTGCACAAAGGAATTGAAGCAGTAATGATCTGAATATATCTGAATCGATTCCATCAAGAGGTTGTGACAGTGCAAAAGTCATCAAAAGTCTTTTGCATTCCCTCTCTTGCGTCATTTTTTTTCCGTAATTAAAGGTCTATGAGCGAACAACTCGCTTCTTGATTCCGAGCGTTGCGATCTGAGCTTTGAATCAGCCTTGGAATCGCAAAGCAGCAAGTAGCATGACGATTTGATGTTTGCTTAGGTCATTCAGGGTTTCAATGCGACAGTCTTCGCCTACGGAGCCACAAGTGCTGGCAAGACGCACACAATGCTTGGATACCCCGGCGAACCCGGGATAATGTTGCTGACCTTACGAGACCTATTCAGCGAGGTTGCCAACCAAAAAAGCAGTCTTCATTTTGAGAAGCTTGGCCAGCACCGGCTGGAAGACATTACAACGTTCTATTTCATGAAAAAACAAGTGCAATGAGCATCTTTGCGCCACACGTGTCAGTATCAGCAAGACAATCTTGAAGCGAACTTTGTTTGTTCTGCAAGCAACTTGAATTCCTTTTTTCTGCAATACCTCTCAAAGTGGTGAATCTGAGGATCAAATGTTCATTCTTGGAAGTGTACAACGAAAACGCCACTCAATGGCAATGTTTGGAATGAACACTGTATTGCTTTGCAGGAACCTTTTGCCCGGAGCCTGAAGTCTTCGATAGTTTGAATCATTTGACAGGTGAGAGATCTGCTGCGACCCGACAGCGATTTCTTGGACATTCGTGAAGATCCCGTGAAAGGTATGTGTGTTGCAGGCTGGCGAAGTCGGCGAAAATGGGTAAAGCTGGGCACGCTGACTTATTTGAGCATGCCAAAGTGGCACACATTTGAGACTCGAGATATACATGTCAATACATGTTTTGCGCCACTCCATGAGAACGTTGACATGCCAAATGTCCAGCTATCCAAGAAGGCAAATCTAAGCAGATTCAACTTGTACTCATGGTGCTTTGACGGTTGAAAGCACTTCGCTAGTGCAGGAATCAGTGAAGTAGGCGGGCTGGAGAGTGCAGAGGAGCTGGTTTGCACAATGGTTTTGCGATGTGCCAGAATTTGAGCGCTTGACAAACTAAATTGTTTGTACGACTTAGTCTTGTCATCGCTGTTCATGGAGCACTTGGTGCTTGGAATAGCTCAAAGTACTGCTCTGGTGAATATGCAAGTGTACTGTATGTATACAATTGTGGCCTCGTTTGTATACCATTCCTGAGCAATTCTGTTGCGGCGCTATGACATACTCTGCACAGGAGATTATGGCTTTGCTGCATCAGGGCAACAAGAATAGAACCACAGAGGCTACAGGAGCCAACGCTTCTTGTTAACACAATGTTTGAGGTATTTGGAGACATCTGGATCACCAGTGAAAACCTGACCTTTGAGCCTTGTAGCCATCCAAGTTTCCCACAGTTTTCTACTTTCAGAACATGAGGAATATGACATGATGATATCACTGTCGTCACCTGCCACAATGCTGGCAGACTTGATAGAACTTTCTCCTCGCGGATTTTTTGTGCCCACTTGCAGCACTTGCATGCATGCATTTCGTCAAGCCCAGAGTTTGATACAGAAGCCTTCTTTTCCACTTTAAGATCTTTAAGCAAACATTGAGCATCCCTCTTAATCGAAAACAGCAAGTTCAACCCAAGGAGGTGATTTCTAGTCACAGGCCCAACGACCTTTCGCACATATTGATTTGTTCGTGTTTTTTTTGCCCACAGCGTAAAAGGTTACAAGCTCCAGAAGCCATGCTGTTCTTCAGGCTGGACTTTTGCGAACTGTGCTGTGACATGCTGTGACTACATAATTCGTGATTTGAGTTCTTGCTCAAGATGCTTGCATCCATGTGTACAATCCGCTGTACTACTGTACACATATCAATGTTCCGTTGCTGTCCCTCATGGAAATGATCTTCAATGCTGTTGCAACGTCCGCTGCAGCGCGAATTGATAATCATTCTGGGGATCACAGCCATCACAGCCGCCACAGCCTCGCAGATTTCTGTTGATTTGACACTGCGCAGGTCATGGTGCATCAACGAGACCGGACTGCAGACATCGTGGCCCATGTGAATTTGGGCAAGTTGTCCATGATTGATTTGGCAGGCGCAAGCGAAAAAAAAAACTAGTCTGAATTCCCTACGAAAGTTCAAAGACTGACATCATTGCCACATTTGATGATGTTAATCGCATAAAGTTTGATAGTCTTATAAATATATATATATAGTCTTTCTAAGTCTTTGTGACACAGCACAGGCTCTGAGCGAGCCTCCCAGACCAACAACAAAGGCACGTTGGAGCTTCACATTGTTTGAACCTGCTTCAAGTGTATGAAGGTACCAACGGTCGTCTTCGTTCTGTGTTTCTGAGTGAGGGCAGAAGATGTTGTTCTCTTGCGCCCTTCATTTTCAGCTGCTGGAGGTATGCGAATGATTGAGGGAGCTAACATCAATCGATCACTGCTCGCCCTGGGCAACTGCATCACTGCTTTGAGCTCCGCAGTCGCTTTTGTACCCTACCGAGCCTTCGCATGAAGTCACAATTCTAGTCTGCCAATGCTGAAACAGACTTGTTGAGCTGAGCCTCAAATACTTTGGTACCTAATCTTCAATCGCTTCTTTGCTGGGAGGCAGGGATACAGCCACGATCCCTGTTTTTCGCTCTTAGGAGACTCCAAGATGACAAGGTTGTTAAAGGATTCGCTTGGTGGAAACTGCCGCACAGTGATGACCCTTGGCATTTTTTTGACAAATTTTTTGACAACACTTTTGACATTCATTTCAACATTTCATTTCATGCTTTGGAGCTTGCTTCGTACGGAGGCACGTAGGGTGCTGCAGCCACATACCAGTGCAGGTACTGAACACTAACTTCAGTTGTATATAGAGTGGATTTGCTTTGAAGCTGCAACATGTATTGCATTCTTTGAGACTCAAGGATTGCCAATGTAAGTCCGTGCCATATCAACTACGAAGACACTCACAATACTTTGCTGCTTGGCAAGAAATGGATTGAAAGCCAGCAACTTTCGTCTTCGGACTTCAAGGAATTGACATGACACGACTGCAGGAAATATGCCAACAGAGCCAAGAACATCAAGACAAAGGCTGTGCGCAATGCATGATCCTTGAAAGCTCTGGACGTTTTTTTTTTTTCAGCATCAGTTCAGCAATTCCAAGATGGTCAAGAGCCGTGCTTTAAGGTCGCACAAGTGAACTACCACGTGTCAAAGTACACGGAGATCATTAAGGACCTCAGGAGCGAGATTCAAGAATTGAAGGCAGGATTAAGTATGCTAGAGGGTATGGAGTGACGTGGCATGTCACTTTGAACTAAATCAGGGCGCTCTTTTCATATGTTTGTGTGTGGAGCTGCATGCAAATCTTTCACTTTACGCTTTCCATCTCTTTCCCTGTGGCTTCACTGAGTTTGTTAAACAGATGCAGTGGTGAAGAATCGCTCGTTTTCCATCATTTTTGATCGTTTCTTAGGGCTTCTGACATCCTGACATGCGCAGGCCAAGCTGGCAGTGCCCGAGGCACCTCCTGACTTGGGAGAGGAAGAACTGGATACCACGCAGAGTGTGAAATGGAGCGGCACCCAGCATACTCAGCCTGGCACAGCATCAGTTGGTCAACAACAAAGCATCAGTCAACAAAACAGTCATCAACAAAGTCTGATCTTGTGATCTTTCCATACAGTCTTTTGATGCATTTAGCTTACTGATGAGTGGCCTGAACGCAAAGCAGGCATCCTAGAATCCAGTATAAAAATCATTTGTGGAAGCGTGCTCAAAGCACCTGCACTCTGTGCAGACCCAATGAGCTGTAAGATATTCAGAATCTCCACCCAACATGTTCAGCTCGTTTCAAACTACAAGACATGCAGCTCTGTGTTGATGTCACCATGCCCCTGCGGGAAATCTCCAGCAGCCTAGCATTTTCAATGCAGTAAGATCATGCTATGAATCCCTTTGGACCCAGGGCACTTTGTCCTTTCAGCTGTCTCCGATGTCTCCCGTCGAGCCCTCCTGGTTTTTGGTGTGCTGATCGGCCCATGACCTCGCCGGCGCTTCGAACATTCTGAGCTGCAGCTTCGAACATTCTAGCCTTTCCATACCTGTGCTCTTTAAATCTCTAAAAACATCTCTTTACTTCGTAAATGATTTTCTGCAAGATGGTTTTCACCCACGTCTAGCCTGTACATTTTCTCGCGCTGTTCCTGCACTCGTGGGACAATTCACAGGGTGTATGTATGTATGTAATGTAATGTAATGTAATGCAATACAATGCAATGCAATGCAATGCAATGCAATGTAATGTAATGTAATGTATTGTAATGTGTTGTAAAATATTGTATTGTATTGTATTGTATTGTACTGTACTGTACTGTAATGTAATGTAATGTAATGTAATGTATGTATGTATGTATGTACGTACGTACGTACGTATGTATGTATGTATGTATATACATTATAAGTAGTATATATGTTACACATTGATCATGTGTTGATCATGTGTTGGTGTCCTTGACAACTTGGCACCACAGTAAAACAACACTCTCAAGAGAAGTTTCGGCTTTTGTGGCCTTGATACAACTGAGCGTTCCAAATAAAAGGATGGCGAAGTCTTTTCTTTCTTTTCTCCTTCCGCTCTAGTACTGCCATGTCAAGTCTCTCCAAGGAAGCACGAGCTGATGCAGAACTTTGAGGCAAGCTTTCCAAGCTCTCCAAAATTGTGGGATTGGATTTACCATGATTTACAGTACCTATGTGAATCGAGAGCAAACCGAAACGATTGCACAAGTTGTATTGCTTTCAAATAGAAACTCCGGCGAACGTGTGGGGTTTACAGACTTGGCTTTGACAGGAGAGGGTGCGAATCAAGCGACGTCTCATTGACTTGGCCCATGTGCGGGGCTGAGAGGCATTCTGGGAGAATACGAGGTGTCACTGCAAATGATTGAAACTTACCAGGCAGTCTTTGTTCTTAACACGCTGTCCAGTTTTGCATTGAGAGGGGGCTCTCGTATTTCCAATAGGCCACGTTTCACGTTTCCTGCAAGCTTCAAATTGCACTAGTGCTAAGGAAACGAAGAACCAGATGGTGCAGAAGAGCCATGCGCAGGCCTTTCTTTGTTGGTGTTGGCTTGTCGGCCAGCAACAAACCTTCTCCCCTGTCTCCCTACCTCTTTCACTACATCAGACCTTGCATCATTTTATCCGCCCGAAGTCCTTATCCTCACCATCCTCCTCCTCCACCTCCACCTCCCTTGTTTTTGCATCCTCCTCCTCCTCCTCCACCTCCAACTCTTTTTCTTGCATCACCATCACCATCACCATCACCACCACCACCATCACCATTGCCATCACCATCCCCATCGCCATCCCCATCGCCATCACCGTCGCCATCACCATCGGCATACCCATCGCCATCGCCATCGCCATCATCATCGTCATCGTCATCGTCATCGTCATCGTCATCATCATCCTCATCCTCATCCTCCTCCTCATCATCATCATCATCATCATCATCATCACCATCATCATCACCATCATCATCATCATCATCATCATCATCATCATCATCATCACCATCACCATCACCATCACCATCACCATCACCATCATCATCATCATCACCACCACCATCATCACCATCATCACGATCATCATCATCATCATCATCATCATCATCATCATCATCATCCTCATCCTCATCCTCATCATCATCATCATCATCCTCATCATCCTCATCATCCTCATCATCATCATCATCATCATCGTCATCGTCATCGTCATCGTCATCGTCATCGTCATCGTCACACCACTTATCATTATCATCATCATCATCATCCTCATCCTCATCCTCATCCTCATCCTCATCGTCATCCTCATCCTCCTCCTCCTCCTCCTCATCATCATCATCATCACCGTCATCACCACCGTCATCATCACCGTCATCATCACCGTCATCATCACCGTCATCATCACCGCCATCATCATCATCATCATCATCATCACCATCACCATCACCATCACCATCATCATCATCATCATGATGACCAGCGTCAGCATCAGCATCACCACTATTGTTTCCTCATCATCATATTGGTTTTCGCTCATCTGGCTCTTCAGGGTGGGAGACATGCTGTATTTGCCAGAATTGGATCTCTTGTGGTGCTGGCTTCAATCTTCAATGGTACACTTGCTCTGTGTTTTGCTGCGTTCCTGTTTGCTCTACCTCTCAATTGCTCTAGAGCACGGCTCACATACTCCTGGAAGAAGAATCGACGTAGTGAAAGGGCTACAGCGGGCCGCGGACATTCCTTCATTCCTTGGTTTCCGTTCTTTTTTTTGCCTTCATTCATTGTTTGCTGCAGTTATCCCTTGATTTCTTCCACTTTTCTCGGTATGTTCCCTTCTATATAGAGGCTCTGTGGATCTCTGTGGTGCTGTCTACTTGCAACAAAATAGCAGTATCAGAATGTTCCGAGAAGATTCACAGAATGAGTGCAGATGAATTGTGAAAAAAGTCGTAGCTATTGGTTGCGCTGGATCCTAGGAATAGCCGTCTTGCAGTTGGCTAGTCACAGATAGCACAACATGAAAGAACACAAAGTAAAGGAAAACGGAGCCAGCTGTGCGGCTATGCCCGCAGCCCGCAGATGTGAATCTGCCAGGTTGGAATTTCTCAGTGGGAGTCTGGTCGCCAGGCACTGGTCACGCCCGCTCTGCATAGGTGAAACATGGTGAAACAGTGAAACAGGTATCCAGAATGTTCCAGATATGTTTCGCAAAAGGTGCAAACCGTGCAAACCATGCAAAGCAACGTGCAAAGGAGCTGCAGCAGCTGCAGTAGTTGCAATAGCTGCAGCGGCAAACAAAGAAAAAAAATGAAGTGCTCTTAACACGTCTTAACAAATATCTTAACGAGGGTTTTTGGTCAAACAAATTTGCGACGCGCTTTTGAGGCGCAGTTGGACGGAGACTTGGATGGCCAGCGCACGCCGCCAAACATCAGGGAACTGCAGGCGCAACCTGCGCAGATTTGAACTTCCGCGACGACCAGCACAGATCAGCACAGATCAGTAGAGCAGACGTCGAGTTGTCGACAATTTGTGCTAAATCAGTAGGGGAGAACGAGTGGATTTATCACTATCACCCCATGGAGCCGCTCACAATGCAATCTTGTTGGCGTTGAGTATGTTGAGTTGCGATCGGCCACAAGGAGAGCTATGCATCGCCTCGGCTCAATCAGCTTTTGCTAATGTCAACTTGGAATAATTTGGAAATAAAGTGTCAGCTACCAAGCCATGCGAAGGCGATGACCGTAAAAGACTGTACAACTCGAATTCACACTTGCAAGCACACTTGGCCGATTTAACGGTGCGGGGTGCAACCTGGGGCAATCTGTTTGCATCGTGTCGCGGTGCTTGGTCGAGATCAGAATATGTGGATGCGCTGTGACTGCGCCATGCCAGGCGCGAGCGGAGAACACTTCATGGTAACCTGGAAAACTCAAAGTCTCAAAGCAGTCTCAAAGAAGTCTCAAAAACTAGCAAAGATCACTCAATATATTCAATATATATTCAATATATACTTGTTTTCGGATCACAGAGCCATACTTTAGTTTCAACTGTCATTCACATTTGCACACCACATCCACTTGCATCCTAGACAACACCGGTTTAGAACAGAAATCAAAGGAGTCGCTAACTCACACAACAAGACCCAGTCGTGACACATATTGTTGGAATTTGGATTACAGTATATTGTAGTGAACAAATTACGGGGAGCAATTTCCATTCCACACTTCTGACACGATGGGTCGAGGACAAATTACACTACAGACCATTTTCTTTGAAGAGCTCACCGCAACTTTGCAGCCTAAGATCCCAGACAGAAACTTTGGAAGCGATGGCAGAGTGAGTGCACGTATATACCTCTATATACATGGACAGGTATATGCATATGCGCATACAATAAAGACCTGTTTGCAGAGGCCTAGGTGCATCTCCTACATTTGCTGCCTGTGTGAGGAAGATGCGAGTGCTCAAAGTTCCCAACGGAGCTGGAGTTCTTCAAGGCGTGGGATGGAAGAATTGGATGTGTTTAGATGTGTTCACTTGAATCCTGTTCGGGTGGAATCTTCAGTGGTCATAGAGACAAATTCATGAGCACTGATTTTTCTTCTAATTCAATTCTCGTTCCTTTAATTGTTGACATGGCATGGATGTTGCAGTAGGGGCATGACAGTAACTTGACACAGGCAAGGCCATGCGGCCATGCACATAAGATCCTTGGACCTCAGCCCTAGATGAAAGAGCCTCGATGCAGTCGATGCAGCATGAAATGATTCGAACTATTGGAGAACTTGCTCGAGACAGTCCAGTCAACTGCTCTCATCAATCCCTGATTTGTTGCTGTCGCATGAGAGCTACCTGGTTTCTAGAGCAATGCTAGCAAATCACATTTTCGAAGCACCTTCAGACTTGCCAACCATGATGCCCTTCGGAAACCCCCATCAACGGAGCACCGAAGATGCTGAAGTGTTTCATTCCCCGAATGGTGTTAGCCTTAGGCCAACATAGGCCAAACATACGCCCTTGTGGCCACGGAAGCTGTTTGAAGGAGAGTTCAACCAGTGAAAGAAACATGCAGACAACGATGTCAATGACACGCTTGCTGTTTGCAAACGCTAAAGGTGCTTATAAACACAGACGCATAGACATATAGATACAAAGATACAGAGTACATAGATCCATACTTGCATAGATACATACATACACAGATACACAGATACATAGTTAAATAGATACATGGATGCGTATATACATAGATACATAGAAAGATAGATAGATACAAAGATACATAGACACCTAGGTACCTACGTATCTAGGTACCCACGTACCTACCTACCTACCTACCTACATACCTACCTGCATACCTACATACCTACATACCTACATACCTACATACCTGCATACTTACTATACATATTTATACAAACACATACGTACATAGTTGCATAGGTACATAGGTACATAGATACACAGGTACATACATACGTACGCACATGCGCACATTGGTACGTACGCACAGGCGTACAAACGTACAAACGTACACACCTAAACACACACATACACACATACATACATACATACATGCATCCATACATGCATCCTATACATGCAAATCCATCCATTCATGCCTACCCATGCATGCATTGACATAACATACATACATACATACATACATACATACATACATACATACATACATACATACATACATACACATACATACCTACGTTCGTACGTACGTACGTACGTACATACGGTTCAGGGTTCGTCTGTGCACGTCAAAAGTGGGTCGTTTGTGCACGTCGGACGGTTGGTCGTCTGTGCACGTTTTTGTTGTGTGATTTTGTCATTGTATCTCTGTAACATGATTCTTCTTCTAGCTTTTTTTTGAAACATCATCACACAACTCATCAAGTTATGTTTTTTCCCTCACATCTCTGTGTGGGGCTTTTGTTTTTAGGTTTGTATTCCTTGCCTTCTCCTCCTTCTCCTCCTGAGTTGCTTCTTTCTCTCTCAACTTCACCCAAATTGTCTCACACAACTCACAGAACTCATCCCAGACAACTCCTCTCATCTCACAAGTCACAGAACTCGTCTCACACCACTCCACTCATCTCACAACTCACACAACTCGTCTCATCTCACAAGTCACACAACTCATCTCACACAAGTCATCTCTCACAACTCATCTTACACAACTCAACTTACTCAAGAGCTGCTTTCGTGTGCCATTTGGTGGAGCTGCTTTCGTGTTCTCTCACTGAAGTTCACCCAAGTTCTTTCACACAACTCATCTCACAACTCACACAACTCATCTCACACAATTCCACTCATCTCACAACTCACAGAACTCCTCTCACACCACTCCGCTCATCTTACAACTCACACAACTCCCCTCATCTCACGAGTCACACAACTCATCTCACACAACTCATCTCTCACAACTCATCTTACACAAATCAACTCACTCAAGAGCTGCTTTCGTGTGCCATTTGGTGGAGCTGCTTTCGTGTTCTCTCACTGAAGTTCACCCAAGTTCTTTCACACAACTCATCTCACAACTCACACAACTCACCTCACACAATTCCACTCATCTCACAACTCACAGAACTCGTCTCACACCACTCCACTCATCTCACAACTCACACAACCCCTCTCATCTCACAAGTCACACAACTCATCTCACACAACTCATCTCTCACAACTCATCTTACACAACTCAACTCACTCAAGAGCTGCTTTCGTGTGACATTTGGTGGAGCTGCTTTCGTGTTCTCTCACTGAAGTTCACCCAAGTTCTTTCACAGAACTCATCTCACAACTCACACAACTCATCTCACACAACTCCACTCATCTCACAACTCACAGAACTCAACTCACACAACTCCTCTCATCGCACAAGTCACACAACTCATCTCACACAACTCATCTCTCACAACTCATCTTACACAAATCAACTCACTCAAGAGCTGCTTTCGTGTG